CTTTGGCGAGTGTGGTGTGGAAGAGCTAAGTTGGGCTAGTCAGGGATCCTTTGGTGAACGTGCTGTGGAAAAGCTACTTTGGGCTTCTCAAGGATTACTTTGGTCAATGTGCTGTGGAAGATCTAAGTTGGGCTACTCGCGGACTACTTTGGTGAGTGTGCTGTGGAAGGGCTAAGCTACTCAGGGACCACTTTGGTGAGTGTGCTGTGGAAAAGCTAAGTTGGGCTACTCAGAGACCACTTCGTGAGTGTGCTATAGAAGAGCTAAGTTGGGCGACCGGGCGTACTGAAGTCCGAAGTTCTAAAAACCTAACAACCGACAGGCCTACGGGTGAGAAAAACGCAGCTTTTGTTGGCTTGATAAGTACATTGCAACGCTACAACTACCTTGGAATCACTTTGGTAAATGTGCTGTGGAGAAGCTAAGTTGCGCTACTAAGAACTGTGGTTGCTGTGGAAGAGCTAAGATGAGCTACTTAGAAATCAGTTTGTGAATTTGCCGTGGAAAAGCTAGGTTTAGCTACTCAGGGATCAGATTGGTGAATGTGGTGTCAATACTTAGGTCATTTTGGTGAATGTGCTGTGGAAGTGCTACGTCTACGTTGAACTACTCAGGGATTACTTTGGTGAACAAGGATCACTTTGGCGAGCGTGCTGTGGAAGAGTTAAGTTGAACTAGTCAGAGATCACTTTTGTGAGTGTGCTGTCAAAGAGCTACGTTGAACTACTCAGGGATTACTTTGGTGAACAGGGACCACTTTGGTGAGTGTGCTGTGGAAGAGCTACTTTGGGCTACTCAGGGACCACTTTGGCCAGTGTGCTGTGGAAGAGCCAAGTTGCGCTACTCAGGGCCCACTTTGGCCAGTGTGCTGTGGAAGAGCTAAGTTGCGCTACTCAGGGGCCACTTTGGCCAGCGTGCTGTGGAAGAGCTACTTTGGGCTACTCAGGGACCACTTTGGTGAGTGTGCTGTGGAAGAGCTACTGTTGGCTACTCAGGGACCACTTTGGCCAGTGTGCTGCGGAAGAGCTAAGTTGCGCTACTCAGGGACCACTTTGGCCAGTGTGCTGTGGAAGAGCTAAATTGCGCTACTCAGGGACCACTTTGGCCAGTGTGCTATGGAAGATCTAAGTTGGGCTACTCAGGGACCACTTTGGTGAGTGTGCTGTGGAAGAGCTAACTTGGGCTACTCAGGGACCACTTTGGCCAGTGTGCTGTGGAAAAGCTAAGTTGCGCTAGTCAGGGACCTCTTTGGCCAGTGTGCTGTGGAAGAGCTAAGTTGCGCTACTTAGGGACCACTTTGGTGAGTGTGTTATGGAAGAGCTAAGTTGGGCTACTCAGGGACCACTTTGGCCAGTGTGCTGTGGAAGAGCTACTTTGGGCTACTCAGGGACCACTTTGGTGAGTGTGCTGTGCCACTTTGGCCAATGTGCTATGGAAGAGCTAAGTTGCGCTACTCAGGGACCACTTTGGCCAGTGTGTTGTGGAAGAGCTAAGTTGGGCTACCGGGCGTGCTGAAGTCCAAAGTTCTAAAAATCAAACAACCCCACAGTCCTACGGGTGGGGAAAAATCTGAGCATCCACGCGCAAGTTGTGAAGTGCTCTGCCAGCAGCTTCGCCCGCGCCAACGGCAACAGCCGCCACCGAAAAAAAAAAATGGCTTGATAAGTACATTACAACTCTACAACTATCCTGGGATCACTTCGGTAAATGTGCTGTGGAAGAGCTACGTTGCGCTACTCAGGGATCACTTTGGCCAGTGTGCTGTGGAAGAGCTAAGTTGCGCTACTCAGGGATCACTTTGGCCAGTGTGCTGTGGAAGAGCTACGTTGCGCTACTCAGGGATCACTTTGGCCAGTGTGCTGTGGAAGAGCTAAGTTGCGCTACTCAGGGATCACTTTGGCCAGTGTGCTGTGGAAGAACTAAGTTGCGCTACTCAGGGATCACTTTGGCCAGTGTGCTGTGGAAGAGCTAAGTTGCGCTACTCAGGGATCACTTTGGCCAGTGTGCTGTGGAAGAGCTAAGTTGCGCTACTCAGGGATCACTTTGGCCAGTGTGCTGTGGAAGAGCTAAGTTGCGCTACTCAGGGGTCACTTTGGCCAGTGTGCTGTGGAAGAGCTAAGTTGGGCTACCGGGCGTACTGAAGTCCAAAGTTCTAAAAATCTAACAACCCCACAGTCCTACGGGTGGGGAAAAAACAAACTTGTTCAAAGTTGCTTGCTTGTCAGATTGGCATTGTTTGACGTCTGTCACAGTGTGCCGATCTTGTTTTGTCGATGCTTTTGTGCTGGTTGTCTCCTTAAAATGTACGTAGCATTCATTCCACACATTGAGCATCAGCTGGCGCTCGTTTTGCCAAGGCAACACATTACATCGTAGCATTCAGAGGAGCCAAGCGACACCTGCAATCTGGGCAAAATGGACCGAACACGTGTTTCCATGTCGGACGTCGCATGTCGCTGGGTAAATAGACCCCGTCGCTGAGACGAGTGTGGAGCAAATGTACCATTCCGAATCCCGGGAGTTCATTCCAGAGACGTTGAAGAACAGCTTGAGGCAGAACATCTTGGCTTTGAAATTCATGGTTTTCATTCATGTGGGGTATTGACGCCAGTCTTTCAGCCCAAATTAATCCGACCGGTCTTCAGAGCATGTCATGTCTAATTAAAGAGGTTGCTCCATGTTGTTTCAGTGTCTCATTGTCGTTTCCATTTGGACCTTGAAAGGAACCATGTGTTCTTTCTTTCTTTGAGGACCGGAGCTCTCGTTACAAACTTCCGTGCCATTCCGGAGCTCTGAGGTACCTGAAGCTTTTCCCCTCGCAGATTGTCTAATGTTCCAGTGCAAAACAAGTCGAACCTGCCACCAGTCGCAAGCAGGGCTTTAATGTGCTCAAATAGATTCAATCAAATGTCCTTCCCTATTGCATCAAAAGTGTTAGATGGTATTAGACTTCATGCTTCACCACTGTTTTGAATCAGGGCTCACTCGCCATACATCGCCAGACCCTCATAATTTCTGAAGTGGACTCCGCGGAGTCGCTCCCGTTTTTGTCCAACCCGTGATGGGAGTAGACCCGAGGAAATTGTTCCTAGTAGCGTCCTTGCTCCTAGTAGTACGGCCAGGAGCTCCTAGTAGCTTCTTGTTCCTAGTAGCGATGCCAGAAGCCCCTAGTAGCGCATGTTCCGAACAAGTTCCCAACTTCACGAGGTCTCCGTCGAAGTCAAAGTGTCTTCCAGCTTGTTTGTCACCTTCTTTGCACGGGCCTCAGCGCCCCTTCTGGCGCGCCGATCACAGCTC